TCCTCCAGCTCCTTCGTTCAGACGCAGCCATGTTAACGACGTCTGGGCTTTCAAGCTCCTCATGGCGCAAGATGACAAAATACCACTCAAGCTAATGGTTTTAATGAAGTCTTCTGCTCAGTGCCCCTCAGGCCCGAATGGCAGCGAGAGATGACATGGCAAGACCTCTCCATAAGCTTCATAGGCACCACAGGTGCTGATCACTTCCCAGCTCAAAATTAAGGTAAAGCCAGTCCTGAATACGAGTGTTTTAAAACAGGCAGGGGACCACCACTGCAATGAACCCAGAAACTTTCTGGGCTCTGATTAGCAAGCACTGTCCTACAGATTGCATAAATCACCTTCCCTCCCCCTGCGTCCCCAGGAAACGGAAGGCGTGCAAAATGCTGTCACTTCTCATGTCTGCATTTGGAGAGCCTTGTCAGCGCTAAGGCAGAGACGCTGTGCCAGGAGGAGATACAATTAAGTAGGTACTCGGTACACGGTGCCTTCATTGGCCCGAAGGGCAGGAAACTTGGGGGCATCTTGGCAGGGAAAAGGGAACAAAACAAACAAATGAAAGCAAGCCCTCGGGAGACACCGCGCAGGTCTGCCACGTGGCTGGCACTTGTGAAGGACACTACGGTAAGACTGATAGCAGCACGGCAAGCAGGCCAAAGCTTCCCCCAGCAAAGTCAGCATGGGACATGGAGCACCAGCTATCAAAACCTGTACAATCATGGGACACGCACACAACCCTCCCCTGAGGCCACGGAGCAACCCCTGCAATCTCTCTCTTCCTTAGACATCCCCTTCAAATGACACAATTGACACCTGGCATAGCCCAGGCAGGACCAAGCTCATCAGGTCCTGGAAGGTGAAAGACTTTCAGCTCTCGGCAGGATCTGTCCCTGAACTCTTGCTGGGGGTAGCAGCTAAAGAGGAACAAGTCCCATCGAGACCGATTAGCCGCTTCTAAGTTAAAAAGGGTTGATGTGGTGGGGATTGCGGAGGGTCTCAGAGCCATCGGCTGGCAACTCATCTGTATTTCATCAACACACCAATTAGACACCCCTGGCACTGCCACTGCTCTGAACAGGACCCCGGCTGAGCCTTTCGCTAAATGGTGCCTGATCGGTCGCACCTAGGACTGGCTGAAAGCAATGGGTCACGGGCAGAGCTGGGGACAAGCAGCGGCTTCCCCGCCTCTCCTGCACTCATTTGCCTTCCCTGGGGCTGCATCAATCACAGCCCCTCTTCATTCCCTGCTCCTGCCAAACCTGAGCTCTTGGTTTACTGCAAATCACTATGCTGAAACTGGAGGGGTGTGCTGCAATGCTTTTTTAAAGGGGCAAAGAAAGGGGAAAAATAAAAAGATGACATTTACAAACTCAGTCCTTGTCAGATCTATGGATCAGCAACACATTAATGTCTGTGCTTTATCGTGCATCCTATGAGCAGAGAGCAGCTCTCATATGGCTGGGGAAAAATTTCCGCTAGTTAAGCTAAATCAGGAAAAGACACGTTTGGTGCGTTACATAAATGAATTAAAAACTGGATGTCAAAAAGCCCTGTGTCTCCTTGCCCAAAAGCAACAGCAAGTTAGAAAATCTAAGTGTCTCTAATTTGTTTGCTGGCTGGATCAGCTTCAAAATTCAGTGAATTCTCTACCAAAGCTGATGAGCTGGAAGTCCCAGCGGCTTCGATAGATGGAAGGAGAGAGAGGGGGAGAGAGAAAAAGAGAGAGAGGAAAAGAGAAAAAGAAATGGGCAGAGAGCGTGAGCTTGATTAAAAATAAGGAGGGAACAGGAGCGTTTCAAACAACAGCCTGAACAAATTGGTTAATGTAACCCTTGGGAACAAGACTGTCTCCAGGGCATGAACGTCTGTTCCTTACCCCATCCCCTCACAGTGGGTTTAATTAGATGATTTCTAATGATTTATTTCATCACTTTTATCACAAGAAGCTGGGCTGGTGAGAAGAAAATAGGCATATCTGGCAGAGCAGAGTGGCCTTGGGTTTCCCTCTGCCAGGACTGAGAGGGGCAGGCAGGACCCTGCAGCCTGAGAGGGGCCCTAACAACCCCCCAGACACTGCTATCGGTCAGGCACGACCCCTAAGAGGGGGACACACACACCACACCACCCCGTCCCTCCAGCACCGTGTTACTGCCACTGGGAATGATTTATCACCACCACGGTCTGATGGGAAATCTGAAAAGTTTAGTCCCAGCACAGCTTTCCTGGGTACTGCTGAAGCATGGAGCTGCTTATTTACATGCAACAGGTCCAAAAAGGGTTTCTCCCATCAGACCGGGTTTGTGGCTTCTCTCTCAGGGCAGATGAGGCTGCAGCAGAGCTCGCTGTGGCGCTCTGGGAGAAGCACTGCTCCAAAAGGACCTGTGCATTTAACGTGAACTCCCTGCCACGTTTAAACACATCAAAAACGTAGCTGTCACAGGGCGGTTTGCAGCGATTGCTTCCTTTGCTCCAGCCGAATGCATACTCCTATTAATGCAGATGGGCTTGGATCTGTCACTTTTGCTCAGAGTGTGATGGGTTTGGGAAATGATTAAAAGGGCATTGGTGCTACGAGAGCACTGTGGGGAAAATGCCATCCTGATCCCCTGCTCACTGAGCTAAAGGCAGCATCAAAGCCGAGCCGTCGCTTGACAGGTAAGAACTGGCAGGCAACATCCTTGCCAAGGCTAAAATTCACTGCTGCCAGACCAGGGGAGATTTCCTACTGCCAAAATGCTCTGTCGGTGTGGGGTGAGATACAATAGCTTTTGTTCTGTGCCAGCGTTAGGAGAAGTGGCAACCTCGGAGAAAAGGGCAGGTGTGGAGCTGTCAGAAGGGAAATAAGACTGATGAAAACCCTTTCTCTGGAACTTCCACTTTTCTTCCTAAAGAGGGTTTAGATTTACCAGTAAAACTCTAATTCCTTGAGCTCGTGTCATGCAATAAATAAAGCTTCCTATCTGTGGCCCCACACAGTTATCCTTAACCTCAGCTGAAGCCATGAAAACACCCCTTGGACAGAAAAGGGGTAAGAAGCAGACCAAGGAGCAATGCTGCGAGGCATCTAGAAGCACTGAGACAAAAAGTAAATGACAGTCTGAGCTAGGCAAACCCATTACAGAGGAACACGCACCATAAACCAAGAGCTAAATTATCCTGTAATTCCTCCCACATGCCAGGCTGAGGAGGGATGGTGGAGAGTTACCGACATGTGACTGTCCCCCTCGCTTTTACCCCTAGAAGAGGCTGGTTGGGAAGGTTCATAGAACCTTTTTTTGCCCATTTCATGGGAAATTCTCCCATTTTTCCTCACAGAAATAATTGTGAGTACATATGCCTCCAACAAGCTTAAGAACAAAAGCGTCTGGAGCGTGAGCTTCTATCTGGCACACGCTTGCTGCCCTGAATTATCGCCTGCACAGGAGGGTTACTGTGGCAGCACAGATATTGGCTCTAACATCACCACCTCAGGGGCCTGATACACAAAGACAAATCTAAATTATCTCCAGACACATCCTTGATGAAGTGAAGCACGGTGTGTTTGCCAACCTGGGCCCAGCGAGGGCTGCCGTGACAGCCAGGCCGTGCTCGTCGCCT